TGAATTTGTTTGTGGAGAAGGTCTACTCTTCTACCCTAGAGGACCTTGGGATTTAAAGCTAAACAAGGCCTCGGGTCATCTAGTCTAATACCCCTTCATTTTGTAGAGAAGGGAATTGAGGCCCCTTGCCCAAGGTCATGCACATAGCCAGTGGCAGAGTCAGTAAGAGAATTCAGACTTGCAAACTCCCAGAGGGAAGTTCTTTCTGCTCAGACAGAGCATAGAATGGAATCAATATTAACAGCTCCCTCCAAAGCTGCTGAGGGGCTAACTCAGCTGGCTTGGTGTCCTGAGGTCTGTCCCTGGGGACAGTCTATCAGAAAGGGAATGTGATTGGTCAACACTGGTCCCACCTGTGGATGCTGGCCCCGGCTGCCCTCGTCACCCCCTTGACCGGCGACACTGGCACGTGTGCCTCAACCCCAGGGCGTAAGAGGCCCCAGAGGCCCCAGAGGAAGGGACTGTCTTCCAGATGAAGCAGGAGTGGGAGAGGAAGGAAGCCTGGATCAGTGAAGGGTCTGTGTCGCCTCCCTCCCTCCTCACCCCTCCTCACCCCTCCTCCCCTTGTAGCAAGAGGCCAGGGAGTAAACAGGAAAGACTGGCTGTTCCATGATGGGGATTGGGGGTGTTAGAATGAGCCAGAGGGAAGGTGGGGGGGAGCACTGAAGAAAAGAGAACAGGAGGAGAGGCCTTGCGCTTGTTAGTGGGGGGAGGCTGGAGAGCCTGGGCTCCACAGGAGGCTGCAGCTGGAAGGTCCTTAGAGAACATCTTATCAAACCCCATTCATTTTACAAATCAGGAAACTGAGGTCTAGGTAGGAGAAGGGACTTGTTCAGTAGTAGCAGTGGGCAGGTCTCTCGATTCCCCAGTCCAATGCCTTTTCCACTCTGCAGCTTTCTCTATGTCTTTTCCTAGGCACTAGGAAGTCTGGGTCTTATTCCAATTTCCACCAGATGTGCCCCTCACACAGCCCGGCAGCCCCTGCACCTGTGCTCTTGGACCACCAAAACTGAGGGGAAAGGTCATTGCCACTTGGGATCTTGGCTGGGGGGAGTGTTGTACAGTTTGAGAAAGGAGTCTCTTCACTGATAGAGAATGAGAAAGAAGGCCAGATGACCAGCCCAGGGTGGTGAAAGACCCAGACATGTCAATGCCTAACTCCAGACTCTGGCTGCTCCCAAGGGGCTGCCTGCCTGGCACCCCTGCCCCTTCCTTCTGGTCAGAAAGGGAGGCTGTGAAGGGCGGCCAGTCCGGAGCCAGGACAGACCAGCCCCCCAGGACTTGGCCCCTCCAGATCAGATAAGGCCCTGGGAGGACAATAGGGAACACAAACAGTGCTGGGGTGTTTAGTCCGACAGGGTGCAGGGGGCGGCAGAGCCAGGCTGAAGGCGCCGGCCCCAGACAGAGGCCCTGACTTGCCCCTTCATGGGCCGTGGAGATGATGGAGCTTAATTCCACTACATCTCTGAGTTCACTTAAGTTTATCCTTGGAACAAGAACCCACATCATACAATGCCAGAGTGGAAACACATCTTAGAGACCACCTATGTCCAACACCCCCTTCGTTTTAGGGATGAGGAAACTGAGGGCTAGAGAGAAGGAGGGACTTATTCAAGGTCACACTGAGAATCAGTAACAGAAGTCCTAAGAAGTGGGCATTTGAGCTATCACCAGGTGAAGGAGGATTTAGGGGGCATTTGGGGTGTCTTTCAGTCAGGCCAGTCCTGGGAGTGACAGTGGAAAGTTACCTTATGGAAGAGGTGGACAGCAGACCTTCTACTTGGAAGCTGTCCTATACATAGCCCACCAGAGCTACCAGAATTTGTGGAACAGAGGCCAAGATCCTAGGGACCAGAAGCAAAAGACCCCTTCAAACAAGGACAGTGGAATTTCATGGTAAGGGCCTCACCCTCCATCCTGCCTTGTTCATTCACAGGCAAGAATGTGGGGTTGGGATAGACACCTTTTCATGGCCCCTGGCTCTGGGCCGAGACTGGAGACAGGAGGCTGGCCTCAGTGGTCCCCAGGGGCAGCGCCTACATTCCTGGGGTGGCTAGCAGCCAAGGGGACAGCCACTCTTGAAGTCCCTCCCCCTGGGGTCTTAGCCTGAGAGGATGTTCTCTCCTTGATTCACCTCCCCCCTTCTCCCTCCCCCAAGATTCCTGGTCAGCAAGGAAGCCGGAAAGAGCCAGATTCACTGACCAGTCTGTGGAGAAACCTCTGGGGCTCTCCTGAGGAAACAGGGCTGTCTGCCCCAGCAGAAGCTTAATTAGTGTGTTCTCTTAAAGCTCCTGGGTCATCTGATAAACTTAGGCTTTCTAAGATCCAGGGGGTCCTGGATACTACCCCATTTGGACTGGAGGTGTGATCTTGAGCGATAATATAGATAACTTCACATTTACATAGTGCTTAAAATTTTACAAAGTTGCTTTCCTTATAATACAGAGTGTCCCAGAAGTCTGAGTGCCATTTTAAGCTATTAAAGCTAAAGCCAAGAACTTCACTAAATTCAAGGCAGGTGGCTCAAGAACGAGGTGTCCTGAAAGTCTTAAGGTCATTAACAGCTTAAAACTGCACTGAGACTCTTGTGATCCTCTACTATATTATTTTACAGATGAAGAAACTGAGGCTCTGAAAAGGCTGAGCAAGTAATCCATAATCACATGGCTTCTCAGTGCCTGAGGTAGGATTAGGCCCCAGTTTTCCCAGTTATAAGTCCAGTGTGCTACCCACTATCCCACATTGCTTCCTTTCCTTTCTAAAGGCAGTACTTACTATAGAAGGAGCACTAGATTTGGAGTTAGGTGGTTGAGGGTTAAATAAATAAATAAAGGTGGTTGAGGATGCTGGCTCGACCCATTATTTGACCTTGGACAAATCATTTAATCTCTCTGGTCCTTAGTTTCCCCATCTGTAATAAAACCTACCTTCCAGGATATGGTGAGGAGAAAATGAGATGCTATTTGTAAAGTGCTTTGCAAACCTTAAAAGTCATGCTAGTTATCACCATCATCATCATGGGTGGTGGTGGTGGTGCTGGTGATGGTGGTGGTGGTGGTGGTGGTGATGGTGATGATGGTGGTGGTGGTGGTAGTAGTAGTAGTAGTAGTAGTATTTTATGAGCCAGTTAGACTAGATGGTCTCTTAGTTCTTTTGGGCAGAGGTGGGGAGTTATGAGAATGAATTCCCAAATTCATTCAGGAGAATCCAGGTTCTCCTATGATCCCCTATCTAGGCCTCAGTTTCCTCATCTGTACAATTAGAAGATTGAGCTAGAGGTCCCTACATTTTAGAAATAACAGCAGCTGACCATTTACCACCCAAGTTCACACCCATGACTTCATTTATCCTCCCCCATGTCCTACAAGGCAGATAGCACAAGTATCATTAATCCCATTTCACAGATGAGGACCATAAAGCCCAAAGGAGTGATGTCGCTTGTCTTTGTTCACACAACATGCCAGCCAGGGAGTCAGAGCTGGAGCTTGGGGCTCCGTCCTCCCCACTTCCCTTCATGCACGGGAAATTATGGGCAGGTAAATGAAGGTGGTTGTTGTTGTGTGGGCCAGTATTGCGCACTTGGTGGATTTCCTTCCAGACTCATACCCACGCCAGCCTGTGTCGGGGGCCTGCTGTCTTTGATGGGAAGTTTCACTTCCCCGTTGGAATCGGTCAGAGTGGCGCCCTTGGCCAGTGCTGTCTTTCTATCTCATTCTTGCCTATGATGTCTGGCTTCCCATTTACACACTTGAGAAACTGAGTTGGTTTTGTGCAGCTACTGATCTCAGAGCCAGGGTTTAACCCCTGGTCCTCTGGCTCTAAGACTAGTCCTCATTTCCCTGATTCTTTCTTAGTCAGGTCACCTCATCTCCTCATCCTTGAGGAAGAATTATGGAAGAATTAACCTAAGTCTCAGGCTCATAGATTTTATGCTGGAAAAGGCCTTAGCGCTCATATAATCCAACCTCTTCATTCTACAAACGAGGAAGCAAAAGCCATAAAGATTAAGCAATGACCAGGATCACATGGGCTATTAGGAAATGACAGAAGTGGGATTTGAACCCAGGTCCCCTGACTCCAAATTCAATGCTCTTTTCACTGTACTCTTAGGGATCTTACATGATCCACCTCTAAATCCTCTCATTCTACCATCCCATGGGTGGTGAGAGGAACTGGGATAAAGGGACAAAGAGAAGCTGATATTTGGTGGACTAACAGGGTGGGGGTGGGTGGGCTGTGAAGCCTCTTTCCCTGTCCTGTTCCCCTCTTCTGGGGAGAGGGCCGTGTAGAGAGTGAGCACCGGGTGAAAATGCATGAAGGGGATTTTAGAAAACTCCCATTGGTTGCTCACTATCACTTGCCCCAGAAGAGGAGGCAGTATCAATTCAGTTCAGTTAAATCAGCAAACACTAAAGGAATCTTCTGCTTTTTTAGCTCTCTCTCCCTATCTCTGACACTCCTAACACCCACACCTCAATCCCGTCTCTACACAGCCCCTGAATTCCACCATGCCCTCTCCCCCATAATTTCAGGAAAAGGCACAGGACAGCAGGGTGCCCGTTCCCCTCCTCCACCCTAGCTGGGGGCTTCACTGAAAGGCTAAGGGAGAAGCAGCTGGAATCTCAACCCCATTGTTTTGGATGGATCCCCCCCACACCCTCCCCTTGGCTCTTTCCTCCCCTAGGGATCCTCTTCCTGGTAGATCTTGCTCAGTGCCCAGATTCCCGGCATTTCCGAGGGTGGGATACAGGGACCATAGGGGCATCAGCAAGGGCCTTCCTCGGCTCCTTGCCTGGGGGCGGGCCAAGGCCCTGGAATGTGTGTTTGGGTTCCTGAAGGGAGCTGCCCTCTGTCCCTGAGGAGACTCAGCAGTCCTCAGACTCTGGCCCCTCCCTTCCTCCCTTCTCCCCCACTCCAACTTCTGGTGGGCTGTTTTCTCACTGGCGAGAGACCTTTGAGATAAACCATGGTCACGGCCTTTGATCTCATCAGCCACTGTCCAAGATGAGACCCCAGGAGGCAGCTGGCTGGATAGGTTAGGTATTGAGGGAAGGGAGCTGTCCAGGGGTGGGGAGTGGGGCGGTGGCCTTGTCAGGCATGGGTGAAGGGAGCTGTCCAGGGGTAAAGTCTTGGTCTCCTGGGACTGGGGAGACTGAAGAGGACAGCAGACACAAGTACTATCAAATCCATTGTCTGTCCTAATGGAGGAGAGACAGTCTGGAAAATCCAAAAGCAATTGGATAATTTTTTAAAAAATAGCAAATATATACACTGGATATATATTATGAATTACAGTAAGTGGTTTTTTTCCCCTCCATCTGGCTAAAGCTGGTCATCAAAATGAGTTTGCATTCACTGAGCAGAGTCCCAGGGGCTGGGGCAGCGAGCCCAGGAATAAAATGTGCCACGGATAGGCCACTTGTTGATAAAGAGTACAGGAGTCAGTTTCACTCCCAGTTCTCTGTTCTCGCAAGTGTAGCTCTGGGTGGTCAGGACAACAGGGTTTTAGGGCGAGTTGCTACCATCTCTGGTGTTCTCCTTTCCTCTCTGGGCTTTGGTTCCCCCCCTCTTTCATGAAGCCTTCCCTGACCACCTCAGCC